TAGATTACACAGCTAGCATCCATTGATGCTACATGCTAACAGGAAATAATTATAGCAGACACTTTGATCCAAAGCGACTCACAAAAAGAGGCTTTAACATCCAGCTAGAACATAGAATACACAGCTAGCATCCATTGATGCTACACGCTAACAGGAAATGAGTAAAATCCAGCTCCAGTTCCACTCTTTGCTCAGCTTGAGTCCAATATGATAGAAGAGGATCTAGCACATAGATTACACAGGTAGCAACCATTGATGCTACATGCTAACAGGAAATGACTGTAGCAGATGCTTTGATCCAAGGTCACTTAAAAAAACAGGTTTTATCATTCAGCTCCAGTTCCACTCTTAGCTTAGCTTTAGAGCAATACTCTAGAAGAGGGTTCGAAATAACGTAATTAACATTAATTTAAAACATAGATTACACAGGTAGCATCCATTGATGCTACATGCTAACAGGAAATTATTATTGCAGATGCTTTGATCCAAAGCGACTCACAAAAAGAGGCTTTAACATCCAGCTTCAGTATCACTTTTAGCTTAGTTTGAGTGCATTATGCTAGAAGAGGGTTTAACATTAAGGTTTTAACATCCAGCTTATTACACAGCTAGCATCCATTGATGCTACGTGCTATCAGGAAATGATTATAGCAGACCCTTTGATCCATAGAAACCTCCATAAAGAGGCTTTAACATTCAGCTAGAAAATAGATTACACAGCTAGCATCCACTGATGTTACATGCTAACAGGAAATGATTCAGACCCTTTGATCCACAGCGACTTTCTTAAAGAGGCTTTAACATCCAGCTCCAGTGATCAGTGGCCTGGATGGACCTAAGTCCGACTTTTTGGCCTTAATGGCACCTGTTTCAAATCGTTTTGGGATGTGTTGTGCAGATGTTGGTCTGCCAACAGCTCGGTGGAGATGCTGCAGGAAAAGACTCTGTTGGGACAGACCTGGTGGGAAAAAGGAGGGTTTTTTTTATTATCAACTAGGTCTGAATCAGAAGTACAGACTGATGCATCAACTCTGCAGAGGTCTCTAAGTTGAATGCCCCAGAAAGCTGTGTCCAACTCTGAGTGCCTCCTCCTTTCCAATGTTCCCATATCTGGTCTTCCTTTGGGTCTTAATAGTGGTTGCTATGGGTCTGGAGACGGTTGCCCGGTAACCCTGGGTCTCTACATTCAATTCAAATCAATTCAATTTTATTTATATAGCGCCACATCACAACAACAGTTGTCTCACAGTCCTTTCCAAACAGAGCAGGTCAGACCCTACTCTGAAGTTAATTACAGAAACCCAACAATTCCCACCATGAGCAAGCACTAGGCGACACAGGCAAGGAAAAACTTCCTTTTAACAGGCAGAAACATCTCCCTCCCTGGTCCTCAGCTCCCCTTATAGGACGCGATACCTTAAGAATCAGCAAACTGCCCCTAAAACTACCCTTAAAACATAGATTTGGTATGTAAAGCTCCAAGAAAGTTCGGTCGTATGGTGATATATTTTTCAAAATGCCATTCTCTTACTATAATGTGTCCCTCAAATATTTTATAAAAAAGACAAAGCATAGATTTGGTATCTAAAGCTCCAAGAAAGTCGGTCTTATGGTGATATATTTTTCAAAATGCCATTCTCTTACTATAAAGTGTCACTCAAATATTTTATAAAAAAGACAAAGCATAGATTTGGTGTGTAAAGCTCCAAGAAAGTCGGTCTTATGGTGATATATTTTTTAAAATATCATTCTCTTACCATAAAGTGTCCCTCAAATATTTTATAAAAAAGACAAAGCATAGATTTGGTATGTAAAGCTCCAAGAAAGTCGGTCTTATGGTGATATATTTTTAAAATGCCATTCTCTTACTATGAAGTGTCCCTAAAGTCTTTTGTAAAAAAGACAAAATATAGATTTTTCTCATTGTTCTTATTAAATTGAATTGAATTGAATTGAATATACTTTATTGATCTCCAGGGAGAAATTGACTTCCAGTACAGCCCGTACCAAGATCAAACAAACAAAACACATAGACACACCAGTTCGGGATTGAGGATTTAAAGAGTTAAAGTATTTTTCTTTGGCCTATTTGTTAAAAAATAAGTTTTTTGTGTGAGTCTAACTCTTCTGTAAAATCCTGTTTGTGGCCTCACAGCACCGAGGTCCGTTCCGGATGCGGATCTACGAGCGGGAGAACTTCGGGGGCCAGATGAAGGAGCTGATGGAGGACTGCGACTCCATCCAGGAGCGCTACCGCATGTCCGAGTGCCAGTCCGCCAACGTGATGGACGGCCACTGGCTACTGTTCGAGCAGCCGCTATACCGCGGACGCATGCTCTACCTGAGGCCCGGCGAGTACCGCAGCATGAGGGACATGGGCACGGGCCCCATGGACATGAGGATCGGCTCCATCCGCCGCATCGTGGAGTCGTCTTAGGCCGCGAGCAGAGCGTTTTAATAAAGAGTTCACATGCACAGAGAGAGTGTCCTGATCTGATCTGTGGCTTTCCGGGGTTTCACAGTTTGGTCAATTAATGGGAGTTTTGAGATAAACCTCAACTTCCAGATTTCCTGTTCTGATAGAACAGTGTGTTTAACCCTTTTTTGAGCCAAGGTACAGTTTTTCATTGAAAAAATCTCAAGGCACACCACCAACCAAAAATGCCAAACAAATCTGTAGCCGCCTATAATAACACTACAGTTATTTTTATTTTATTCTTATCTTGTCTTAACTCATTGACTGCCAGCCATTTTCAGAACAGAGAGTCGCTCACTGCCAGAGTTTTTTGAGCATTTTGACTGATTTTTCAAGAGCCACAGAATAGTTTGTGCTTTGACTATGTAAACACCGAACACACCAAAAGAAAGAGTAGACTCTCTTCTTTCATCAGAAAAAAAATTTTGTTTCTACCTTATTCCGTTCTTCTTCGACGTGCGTCTCACCGGCGACATGTTCTCTCATAGCGAACCATTGCGTTTTTTTTTTATTTGCCTACAATCTATGCTCATCCCCCATCAAAAGTGGCACTGCCCCCTAGAGGGTCAATTTGTTACTACATACTCTGTCTAGAAGCCGATATTTACGGACAAGCTTTAGCAGATCGTCCCCCAGACACTCTCGTTGAAAAACATAAAAGACCTCTATAGACGTCTTTGGCAGCCAATGAGTTAATGGGAGTTTTGAGATAAACCTCAACCTCCTGATTTCCTGTTCTGATAGAGCAGTGTGTTTAAACCTTTTTTGAGCCAAGGTAAAGTTTTTCATTGAAAAAATCTCAAGGCACACCACTAACCAAAAATGTCAAACAAATCTGTAGCCGCCTATAGTAACACTATAGTTATTCTTATCTTATTCTTATCTTATTTTAAGTGTCTTGAATAGGAATCAAATAAACACAAAAATCTATTTGTATCATATTTTATATTTCTTCTTTCAAATTGCACTTAACATGTCCATTTCAATATACAAAATTACATACAAAATCTAGTCATAAGGGATTATTACATGATTACTCCACCAGTCACTAGAACAGCACAGACACTCAAAAATGGAATATTATTTGCAGAAAATTAATTCCTTATCAAAAAATTTTTTTAAACCAATTAGGTGAAATAGGATGATTTTCTACGGAACACCTGACCATCACTAACGGCACACTAGTGTACCGAGGCACAGTGGTTGAAAAACACTGTGATAGAGGACGCTGAGTTTATGCCTCTCGTTCTTGTTAAATCAGGGTATTAACTGAGATTTTGGTTGATCTTTGCAGGATTATTTAAAGAAGAAATGTTGTTTTGGGACGTCTTCTCATTTACATTTACAGCTAGTAAATACCAGTACCAGGATTCTTCTCTTTCCTTTGACCTTTGACCTCTGGGCCTCATAGCAGACGCTATCAGACACTACTGAAATCTAAAGGAAAATTCTTTCAGACGTTTTATCCAAACGGGCCAATGGGAGCAGGGCTGCTGTCCCATGTGACCTGAGAAAGGAGAGGATACTGTGTGGGTTCCATTTAAATGGAAGAACATCTGAGTGGGGAATCCTGTAGACAATCACTGATAAATCAGATTTGTAGGTCTTTAGATGAAGGAAATAATTGAAAAACAGCTATTCAAATAATTTAGATTAAGTAAAATCTCAGAAAAAAATCAAGGTTTTAAGGTCTTTAGATTAAGGAAAATCATTGTTGTGTTCAAAGAGCTCAGAAATCTCAGCTTTTGCTGCTTTTTTACTGTTTAAATCTAAATGAAATGCTTATAGACATTTTCCACGAATCATGAAGACCACACCAAAATATATATACAAACGAGGACTATTTAAACACATGAGGGAGGGGAACCCCAGGTGTACACAATAGGTGATCAACACATCACGAGACACCAGACATTCCCCCAGACGTGACACCATCCATCCAATCATCCATCATCCATCCATCCTCCTGTCCTGTCCTCCACTCCATTCCATCTCTGCCTACATCCACCAACACCTACCTGCTCTGTTAAGATTACATTTCCAAATAGTAACAACAGATTTAATAAATTGATCAAATATTAGCTAATAACTTCTTAAATGAGAAGAGTTAACGATTGGAACATTGAAAAAACATTGAAGACTTTTAATCATCAATTGATCTTTAGACTGAGATTTCAGATTTGTATTGAAACAAAATAGTCAGTTAAAGAAAATTATTTGAAGTTATCTCATGAATTTATTTAGTTTATTTGTTTATTGTGTAATAAATGCAACTGCATTTTTTTGTTTTATAAAATAAATTGTACAATAAAATGACATTTTGGAGGTTTATTATGTTTTATTATGTTACATGTGATATATCCACATGTATTTGTCATATTTCTTATTTCTATCACTTTCCTTCATTCACGCTGGCCAAAGTTTAACTTATCTAACAGTTACTGAAAACTTTCTCCAGATATTGAAAACATGAACTTTTCTTTAGTATTTCAATTTAATGAATCCATTTTCACACCATTCCCAAGGATACAAAGATTTGATTTATTCTACCAATTAATCATTGAACCAATTAGAAGCTTCATACAGACAAATTAAGCAGCTTCCCAGTCTTTGGAGGGTTTTAATTAAGGATTTGCTCCTTTTCAATTAGTGTGATACCCGTAATTGGGGGGGATTTTTCCACCTGGTGTTGGACTGACATGGCCACCGTGTAGTTGGAAGCTTCTCTTTAGTTTCTTTATGCTTTGCGACAATGCTGCGTGCGTGGAGGTCGAGCTTTCTTTGTGGCGGGGCGGTGGAGCTGGATAATGACCCTCTGGTGGTCTGACCTGACTGCTCGGTGCCTTCTATGACATGTTGCTGGCTCAGGGCTTTGCACAATGGCAGCCGGAGCACCTTTTTCAGGTTGGGCAGGTATAAAGGTGGCGCCCGGCGCAGCCAGGAATGCACAGCATCCACCTCTCAGTCCTGAGCAGCCAGCAAAAGACAGCAGTCATGGGCAAGGTAGGTACTGTGGGGGAAATGAGTATTTGACCCCTTGCTGATTTTGCAGGTTTGCCCACTTACAAAGAATGCTTATTTTTCCTCATCAGATGGTTATCAATTTTTATAAATTCATATGATGTGATTTTCTGGAATTTTCTTTGGGATTCTGTCTTTCACTGTTAGAATGTACATATGATTAAAGTTATAGATCGTCGCATTCTTTGTTAGAGGGCAAACCTGCTAAATCAGCAAGGGGTCAAATACTTATTTGGTTTAGGATTAGGGATTTGGGTTAAGGATTGACGATAGGGGTAAAGGTCAGGGGGTAGGGTTAGGAATAGGGATTAGAGATAGGGGTTACCCTATAGAGATAGGGGTTATATACCCGAGTTTTAGCCTCTCTGGGTCTAGAGATGGATAGATGCTCCATCTTTGCTCCAACCCAATTCCAGCTCATAGATCTGGGCCTCAGTTTTTTCTCACTCTGAGCTCCACCATCCCCCACTGGCCGACTGGCACCAGTGCTTTGCTAACGGGGCTCTCCTCTGCCTCCTCAGATCATCTTCTACGAGGACAGGAACTTCCAGGGTCGCCACTATGAGACCAGCAGCGACTGCCCGGACATGACCTCCTACCTGAGCAGGTGCCACTCCTGCAGGGTGGAGAGCGGCTGCTTCATGGTCTACGACAGGCCCAACTTCATGGGGAACCAGTACTTCATGAGGAGGGGCGAGTACGCCGACTACATGAGCATGATGGGAATGAGCGACTGCATCCGCTCCTGCAGGATGATCCCCATGGTAGGAACCAGTCTGAGCAGAGCCTTAAAAACAAGAGCTCAGAAGTTAACAATTAACTCATTGACTGCCAGCCATTTTCAGAACAGAGTCCCATACTGTCAGAGTTTTTTGAGCATTTTGACTGATTTTTCAAGAGCGACAGAATAGTTTGTGCTATGACTATGTAAACACCGAACACACCAAAAGAAAGAGTAGACTCTCTTCTTTCATCAGGAAAAAAAATGTGTTTCTACCTTATTCCGTTCTTCCTGGACTTGCGTCTCACCGGCGACATGTTCTCTCATAGAACCGTTAGCTTTTTCTTATTTGCCTACAGTCTATGCTCATCTCCCATCAAAAGTGGCACTGCCACCTAGAGGGTCAATTTGTTAGTACATACTTTGTCAAGAAGCCGATATTTACGGACAAGCTTTAGCAGATCGTCCCCCAGCCACTCGCGTTGAAAAACATAAAAGACGTCTATAGACGTCTTTGGCAGTCAACGGTTGTATTTGAATTGACGTCTATCGACGTCTTTGGCAGCCAATGAGTTAAATGATCATTTTTATGGATTTACAGCTCTTTACCTGAGCAGTAGAAGTTAAAATGTCCATTTTTATGGATTTACAGCTGTTTATCCGAGCAGTAGAAGTCAAAATGTCAATTTTTATGGTTGATAAAGGTTAACAAATGATCGTTCTTGTGGTTTTACAGCACAGGGGATCCTACAGGATGAGGATCTACGAGAGG